TGTGCGCATTGTGCGAGGAGAACTCCTTTCCTAATGGAAAGAAGATTTTCGAAGGGAGTATATCGAATTGGTAGTTGAATTTGTGTAATACAAATATGTGGTCATGAATTCGGTACATTCAATTGCAATGCGAGAATATCCTTTTAATGATGCAAATAATGTTTCAGGAGAAATGCATGAAAAGAGTCCATTCACATTTTGGGATTTTCTTCAACAACGAAAGCGTTGGATTCAGGGTATTTATTTGACAGTGCACGCCAAGCAAATACCCACCAAAAATAAGGTGACGACTCATTTTGGTTTGATTGCATTTTATTCTTTCAGTTTTGTTGTTTTATTAATCTTTTTATGGGAATGAACTGTTTTTTATTTCGGTATCTATAATTTATGTATTGTTTTTCATTTCAGTCAATAATTTCTTTTCTCCTCTTTGCAATCGTGATGTTCTTGATGCATGACAATGATACCTTCTTCCAAATAATTTGATCAGTTTCAACTGTAGTAATGATAAGTGAATTTTCAGATATTATTAGGATTATCATTTTACGCGTGGGCAACGATGCCTTTGACATCACTTCAAGTCTTTCTATTCCACTTATTCCCACTACCACCGTGTTTTATGTTCGATTTCCTTGTTGGTTTCGTTGCTGCGGTTAATTTATATATGTATATTTATGGTGTTATTAAAAGCTTTTCGAATAAATATAGGTTCGTTTATGCATATTCAATTCTATCGTTGTTCTCTTTTCGAATGGATTCTTTTTATTTCATCACAAAAAGTGGCTCATATCTTCTCGTTTGTAACTGCTAACAACCATCCCTGGTCTAAAATTTGAACCATTTCTGGAATTTAGTCATTTCCCGAAATCAGGCAGTCGTTTCCGATCTTCAAGATCCTAACTTTTATTTGGATTGTGCGCGATTTTTGGAAAACAATGAATTTCACATGATGGAGGGTGATCGTCCACGTTTTAAGGCGTACTATCGTCGTGACCATCCCACTTTTTTTTGCTAACAAAACAATAATCTCTGTGCTTAATGCTGTTATGAGTAGATGAATAATACCTGATGAATAAGTTAACAATTTTCAGAAATAGTCCGATGCGATTGTGTTTATATATGGCTGGTGCAGTATTAACAATACCATTCAATGTATGGATTGAGAATATTGCCGTTTTGTGGGGAATGTTGAGCGACAAGAACGGTTTTTATGTTGTTAAAAAAGACGTGCAATTGCTGAATGACGGGTTTCCGTGATTAGAATATCATCGATATAATTGTTACTGTCGTTGTCGTTATTGTTCCTACTTTGAAAAGTTTCAAGTTCATTTTGAATTGCAATCCATTCGTATGTGTATGTTTGAGCAAAGCGATGTACTTGTGTATGTGTACGATGGTGGTATGCTTGCTCTATTGAATCGCCTAGAGTCAGCTTGATAATTGATAGTCATCTGAGCAATCCGCATTTTCAGTATCCATATATCAAAGCCAAGTTGAAGTAGCACTTCGTTGTAAAATGATTGTAGTACGATTGTAATTCTTACATTTTCATTGGTATCAATCAGCACTCAGCTAATCCATCACATACCAAGGCTCGAAACGTTGACATGCCATACCGGAACGGTATTCGATTTGTACGAAGATCTTGATCGTGCCACTAAACAGCTTGTGAAAAATCAGCAAACATCGACGGAATGAGCACGTTTTCAGTGATAGTCACTAGAGCACAATGTGGGCACATATAGAGTGACAAATTTTCATGAAACTTTTCGTGTCCCCTTGTGAGGGTTTTTCTTTCTGGAATTTTCAGTTGAATTCGCAGAATATTATTCGCAGAATGTTTTCTGTACCGCGCACTAAACTAACTCTCGAGAACAAGAACTCGTGTATTGAACAGCTTTAGGTATTTTACGTTTTTGCACTGATTCGACAATAAATTACGTGATTGACTAGTGCATGTTCTTATTGTTCGTTATACATATATACATATATAAACTGATTTAAAATGTCTGCAAACGGGCCTATTTATTTCATTTATATTCGCTTTTTGTGCTCTTTTCATTGTGTCGTTTCCTAGGGAGTTATCCACTGATACGTAATATGTTCGGTTGCTGAATTGTGTCTGATAAAACTCAATTATCGTTCCGTTTCGATTACTTGCTCATGCACTTTTATCGCATGTTCTACGTTTACAGTGCATTTATTGTCGTTATTGTTATTGTTATTATTATNGATTGATTACACACTGTGGGAATAGTATCAGATAAACGATAAGAATAGCTAAAAGGTTGTGGTGAATGAAAAACTAACAAGATGTAGATGAAAACCAACAAGTTTGAATTTTTCGAAATTCAAACTTGATAGGGTTCCACAAAGGAATCGCTCATCTCACATGGGTATGCCCATATCTGTGATCTAGTGAAAGATGATCTCTTGAATGATTGCTTTGAATCGAACCGATTTTCGTTTATTTCTTAAAGTGAATTTAAATTTTTAATATTTCACAGTACCTTCCTTGCGTTTCATCACCTTTCCTTTGGAGTAGTGCGAAATGAAGTGAATTGAAATCCATATATCTATTCGTTTATTGCTATTAGTTATGTTATTTTCATTATTTCCGTCATCGTATTGAAATTCCATCATTTGAAATGCTTGTTGGTCAATATTCGATATTTTGAGTCTATGAAGTCGCGAGTTTTTCCTCAAAAGGATCGTTTTGTTCATGACAGAGACGAGTGAATAATTCTTCAATGGATCTGAATACTGACTGATGAGCAAATGTCTCATTGCTCAATTTATATTTATGTTTTGTCAAAAGAATTGTTGGATTGCGTGAGTGGTCTTGCTCATGAATACTTCATTTGTGAAATTTGTACATTCAACGAATTCGAATTTTTTT